CGAGGATGCAGAAAGCTACCAGGCTAGAAGAAACATCAAGACCTCCTAGAACAACCAGACCACCAGACCATCTAGAATTGCAGGCACAAAACATTTGTCTTATGCCAATATGTTAGGAGATGTTGCCTCCACAGTCTCAGGCCTTGCCGTTTACACAAATCCCTGATATACAACCTCAACGATCTATCTAAAACCCCACTCACCTATCTCCTATCTACCTCCTCCCAACAACGCCAATGACCTTACCAGCCTCCTCACATCATTCCTTTCATAGTTCATATCCCTTATCACTCCACTTATCACCCTACTTACAAACCTTGTGTTCAATCTAATCCCACTGCCAAAAATCCTTAATGACCACAATCAGATTTCTTTCCAGTCTCCTCTGGAATGCGAATTGACTAACGAACACCTTGATAGATAGTTAGGAAAATTGGCATCTACCAATATTTAAACTTGTAGTGTTCGGGTGTCTTTTACGCCGGAAAGAAACTCATAATTCTTTTGAATGTTGAAAGGAAACGATACACATAGCCCTGGAGCCAGAGCCCGAATCGTCATCATCCTAGACGAAGGTTTGAATGTAAAATACGAAAGTGTATGTTATTCTAAGTAAAATGAAGTTTGTTTGCCGTTCCCGAGCCGCTACTTTCAAAAATGGCGACTGATCTATAGAATATTAGGTCATTAACTTCATCGTGAAAAATGTGACAATTTTTTTTTATTTTTTAAACTTATATATGTGGGTTTGTACATATAAAAACAATAATGGAAACGCGGTCCAGGAAGGGAAAACATTTTACAGGCAAAAATATTTGTTTAATAAATAATAATAATTTAATTCAATAAAGTTTTTTTTTCACTTATAACTCCTAAACGATGCATCAAAGCTAGAAAAATGAACTCTTTAAGAAATTACAGAACGTTAAATTGTGCCTCGAAGGAGTACCTAAATATAATAATTTGGTTAGCGTTATGAAAGAAAACCACGGTTAACCAACGCTGATTTTTACCAAATTTGTCAAAAACTGAGCCAAATTACTATAAATAGTCATATAGCATGGAAATGAGTTCCCTATGAGGAAAAACCCATAGAATCAAAGTCGTTGAGCATCGAATTTTGCCTCCACTGATAACTATAGGTCAATTATATATCTGGAATCGGTATTCGTTATTTCTTCATTAAAATCTGAAACCAGGTAAACCTTCCAATAACACAACATCCTACAGACCAATCCTACCTCTCTAACCGCTCCTTTCGAGTTCGCTGTGGAACAGAATTTTCCAATATCTATGCAGTCAAAGCCGATGTTCCCCAAGACAGCGTCTTGGGTCCCGTATTTTACATCAATTTTACCGCTGACATTCGTATTCATCCCGATATCTTCCTTGCAATATTCGCAGAAGACACCTCAATCTTATCATCCGGCTTTGATTCCGAAATAACATCCTCAAATCTGCAATGGCACCTCTCCTTGATTAATCACTGGTGTAATAACTGGCGCATTAAAGTGAATAATTGCAAATGCCAACATATTACCTTTACACTCCGATGCAATTCCTGTCCACCAGTACAGTACTTTAACTCCATCCAACTTCCCTTCATAGACACAGTCCGGTATCTTGGCTTTCTTTTGGACCGAAGCCTAACAGGGAACCCACATACTTGACTTAAATGATAAGAATTCAACCGACGATAACGGCCAACTATACAGACTACTCAACAGAAAATCTAAACTTTCTATTGAAAACAAATTATTTATCTACAAAACAATCCTGAAACCTATGAGGACATACGGACTTGAACTGTGGGGGACAGGAAAATTTTCTAACATCAAACGCATTAAATCCTTTTAATCTAAAGTCCTTCTAACAATAGTTAATATATAAACATAGACCCAGAGTAATTAAACAGTCATAGTAATAAAATTATAAATTACTTTCTAATTTTAATCAGTTAATTAAAAAAAAAAGGATGAAGTAAAAATAATAAAGAACGAACTAATAATTTATATACATATTTATAACCTCCCCCCCCCCTGTATGCCAGAAATGGTGGGTAGGGTGTTATCTAATAAGAAAAAAAAATGTTGGATAGAGGAAGATTGTGCAATTTAGTAAGGAGGATGTTATGGTCAACTTAGTCAAACCCTTTGGAAAACCTAGGAGGATGAGGATAGTAAGGTTTTGGTGTTCATTGTAGTTTTGGAGGACATGGTTTATTTTAAGGAGAGCGGATTGCGTTGAGTAGCCAGGTCGAAAGCCAGATTGGAATTGGTTAATAAGGGAACGGTCATCTAGAAATTTGGAGAGTTGATTTTGGACAACGCGTTCTAACGGCTTTGAAAGAATCTATAGGGGATAAACAGGACGATAGTCGTGCAGTGTGGTAGGGTTGGAAATAGCGCCTCTGCTCAGCCTCTACTGGTCGTTAATACCAGTCGCGCGACTGAGTGAGGAGCGCTGGGACCTCCTAGACTCCACCCTTTCCTTCCACAAGTGGGAAGAAATGCTTGGCTCGGAGATCTTGAGTGAATGAATTTTTTTTTTTTTTAGATTTTGTATAGAAGCATGTATGTATTTGAGTAGTTGTTTTCATTAGTTTAGTTTATTTTTGTTTAGATAAGTTTATATACAATTATTTTTAGTATTATTATTTGTCTGTATTATTTATTTTTATTTACTGCGAATGGAGTTCGAATGTTCTCTTTGAACACTATTATAAATGTCCTTAATTGTAATATCTCTCAATACGTATGTTAAAAATGAAAAAAGAAAAAGAAAAGATATTGTATAGAAGCATGTGGATAGTTTTTTTTATACGTTTAGTTTCTTCTTGTTTAGTTTAGTTAAGTTTATATACATTTAATTTTAGTATTATTGTTTCTCTTTATTATTCATTTTTATTTATTGTTAATAGAGCTTGAATGTGCTCTCTGAATACTATTACAAATGTCCTTATTTGTTGTATTAGGATTGTAATATCACTCAATAAATATGTTTTCAGCTCTATGTTCATATTGTACCAATAAATACTGTAGCTCTTGTATCAATGCCCTTCAGTGTGACAGACCCTATTAATACTCAATAAAATCATTAAAAAAAAAAATAATTATTAAAAATATTATTGAACCCTTTTTGGTCCTTTGATCAGTACAAATAGTTTCAATATTGTACTTAAACTATAACTATAACTATAACTATATATATATATATATATATATATATATATATATATATATATATATATATATATATATATATATATATATATATATATATTTTTTTTTTTTTTTTTTTTTTTTTTTTTTTTTTTTTTTTTTTTTTCTATACCGGACGGGTACATTACGGGTAAGATTACATGCACAAAATTTGGCATGTTGTCCAGATTCGGTCCGAAAATGAGAACACAGCAGGCATTGTACATATTATACACAATATTCACTTTCACATACAAATAAAATATTTATTTTTTTGAATAAACAAAGGTGATTTTCGCTTTTCTCCTCTCAATAAGAAACCGCCCTTATAAAACCCTTAAACAAGAATTATCGTCGCAATTGAAAAATTAAAATTTAGAGCTGAAGACCCCCTCACCCAAAAATGGGGTGAAGAAAAATAGAAAAATATATAAAAAAGTTGTCTTCAAAATTGTAATTGTTCCTATAAACACATTTTTTTTCGTTATTTTCTTCCAGAGTATCTACAGTTAAAAAGAAATGCAAGACCCCAAAATAAAATCCTGGATCCGCTACTGTAAACAATAAGCTATGGAATATTATTTCTTAAGTAATAGGATTTGAAGACAGGCTAACAAACCTTGATTAACCGGCTTGGCGGTTTATCGAGATACTTCCAGCGAATAAAGAAGCAATTAAGGAGACTTTCTGGGCTATGAATCAGTTGGATTGGTGTAATTGGCTTTGCTGCATATAAGACACTTATTAATGGCCACAACGTGTAGGTACCTTAGTTCCCATCCCAGAATTATATTTATTGCTTAACTCAAAACACATAATGCCATCATTATACAATTTTATTAATGGTTTCTTTGGATAGTTCTTGGACCTGATTTAATTGGTCGTATAAAAAAAAAAAAAAAAAAAAAAATATATATATATATATATATATATATACACTCTGAGTCAATGGGTTGGCTTTGAAGTTGAAGGATTACCTCGGTCTTCCTACTGCATTGCTTTATAACAACAATTTAATTAATCTGCGTTAGTCTCGGTATTGATCATTTCAGATGAACTATTAATAACAATCGTAATGGTCTCCTCCCGTTTAACTTCGTCCGTGACTGAAACAAATCCCATCTTCCTAATTATTTGTATGATATCATACGGTTGAGTAACTCATTCGTAGATTTTGTTTTCAGACTATCTGAAATTTAGTGACGGATTTGATAATATAAACAAAATTACTGAAATAAATTAATTAAAAATTGAGTGCTATATTTGCAGCCCATATTATACTTGAGTTTCAATCAAAATTTGTGCATTTTATAGCTTTGCCTATGTGTGTGTGTGTATATATATATATATATATATATATATATATATATATATATATATATATATATATATATATATATACATAGAATATGTATGTATGTATATATACATATTCTTTGGCAATATAAACAAAATAGTTCATATTAACATACGATAATATTTATTAAACAGATATCAACGGTTAAAGGTTTAATATTTATTTATTATTATTACAACATTTAGAGTAGCTGTTCAAAGGGGACTCCGTTTTGTTTAATGAAATATTCAGCACGACGAATCCATGCTTCTCTGGCTCATCGTATAGCATCAGAATGGTGTTTGATAGTTACTGCGTCTTCCACGATCCGATTTCTTAGCTCTTCTAGAGTGCCAACTGCCACAGAATATACCTTAGACTTCATCCAGCCCCACACAAAATAATTTAATAGCGTTAAATCAGGAGATCGGGGTGGCCATTTAACAGGTCCGTTTCGACCAACCCATCGGTCTCCGTAAGTTGCATTTAAATAATCAGTGACACTATTAGAAAAGGGAGCTGGAGCACCGTCAGGCATAAACCATAGCCTTCGCCTAATACCAAGCGGAATATCTTCTAGAAGTTTATAAAGATTATTATTGCAAACAATGCTAGTAAGAAATATATAATATACCTGACAGCCTAGGTGGCAAAAAAAAAAAAAAAAAAGGGAGGCGATGATGTCGCTTAGACGATCACACCAGACATTAAAGAAAACGTATGTTGGTAATGTCCAACAGCAGTTGAATGAAGGTTTTCTTCAGTCCAAGTATGGGTATTTCGAAAATTAATAATCCCGTTTCTCGTAAAGCAAGATTCATCAGTAACCAAAATGCTGTTCAGGAAGTTAGGATCTCGTTTGCATTGTCGAAAGGACCACTGGGAGAAATTTCTGCGCTTGTTATAATCTTGTGGTAACAAATCTTGCCTACTGGTACGTGAAATACGTGAAATGGATACAATTGTTGTTCGCGTAATGTTTGCTGGCAGAGGAAACATCGAAAAGGCGTGACAATGTTCTGGTACTAGTAGTAGGGAACACCATCGAGCATTTCTTCTTCAATGTTTGCAGTTCATCGAAATCTTTGTCGACCGGCATTTACTCGTATCGGTTTCAGCGTGCCATTATCCCAAAGGCGTCTTTCAATGGCCTCAAACGTTTTACGATTTGGTATTCTTCAGTTAGAAATTTTTTCTCGATATTTTCTAACAGCAGCAGCACCGTTTCTCTGTACTTCGCCATAAGTTAAAAGTTCTGCAAAAGTGAATAAATTTATGGTGTCTTCCGTGATAATCATAAATTGAACTTTGGCATAGTATTCACTCACACTAAAACACACATAACTAGACAAACAGGTGAGCAACTACTGTCATTGCTTATAGTTCATTTCTTTATTAGGTGATTAAAACCTGTTATTTAGTATTAAACACGTTAAATTTTGTACATCAGTCTTAATGTAGTAAATAAATAATAAATTATTAACCTTCCATATCTGTTTAAATGAATTTGCGATGTATGTTAATATGAACTTTTAAAAATAATTTTGTGTTATTAAAAACATACCTAAAATAGTTCCGTGCAATTAAGAAACACCCAGTATATATAGAGAGTAGCCGTACGGGCTAAGGCGCTTGCAATAGGTAATCAAAGTTAAGCAAACGTCGAGCATGGTCAGTACTTGGATGGGTGACCGCCCGAAACTGAAGGACACGCTGCCCGATATTCCACCCCCCTCCTCGGGTATGTGAGACCCGTCAGCTACTGGAGGCAACTCACGCGGCAGGGAGGCGAGTGACCCTGTGGTAGACATAGCTCCTGGTCCTCCAGGTTGGGGGTTGGGCATAGGGCTAACTAATAACCCTATCCCATCAAAAACAAAGTATTAAGAAACTTAAAACTAGCCTCGGAAAATCTGACTGTCTTAACATGGTAACGACTCCGGCTTTGTATAACGGACTCCATATCGGATCATGGAATGTTCGGAGCTTATACAGACCAGGAGCCGCCCAAACGGTAGTCAATGAAGTAAAAAGGGCCAACATACCGTTAACAGCCATTCAAGAGGTAAGGTGGCCAGATGGTGAGGAAACCACTATAGACGGCTACACATTGTTCTACACCGGGAGAAACGACAAAAATGGGACAGCTGGCACTGGATTTATATTTAATCCGGCCGAAAGGAAATCAGTAATAAACTTCACCCCAGTTAATGAAAGGATAAGTGTGCTACGCGTAAGTGGTAGTTGGTTTAATATCACGATTATAAACGTGTATGCACCAACCGAAGAAAAAGAGGATGAGGTGAAGGACGATTTATACGATCAGTTAGAAAAAGTTGTGGACCAGGCTCCAAAACATGACATAAAATTAGTCATGGGAGACTTCAATGCCAAGATAGGTCGAGAAACCCAATTTAAGCCCGCCATCGGAGGCTAAAGTTTCCACGAAACTAGCAATGACAAGGGAGTGAGATGCATTAGTCTGGCGGCAGCTAAAGGTCTAGTAGTAAGCAGTACGATGTTCTTGCACAAGGACATACATAAGTATGCCTGGATAAGTCTTAAAGGAGCAAAAAGCCAAATCGACCATGAGCTGATAGACAAGAGGCATCAAAGCTCCATACAAGACATAAGGAGTTATCGTGGAGCAGACTGTGATTCGGACCATACTCTGATTAGAATCAAACTCTGTCAGAGGCTGAAGCGAATCCACAGAATTGGGAACCAATTGGAAAGAGAGAGGTACGAAGTCCGTAATTTGAAAAACCCTATGGTACTAGCTGAATTTCAAATTGAGCTGAAAAATAAATTCGAACCCTTAAACTAGGACCAACACTGGGAGGCACTATAGTCAGAGCTAAAACAAACAGCTAAGGAAGTAATAGGGATTCAGGAAAAACGAAAAGCCAAGAAATGGTTCACAGAAGCATGCGAAAAGGCGGTGGAGGAAAGAAGAAAAGTCCTCTGCTTACAAACTGTTCAAGCTATGCTGGACAAATACACAGCCACCAGGAAAAAGACAAACGAAATAATAAGAACAGCCAAAAGAGAATTCCTCAAAGAAAGATTACAAACTATTGAGGAAAACTGGCAGGCTGGAAATATATGCGAATTCTTCGCAGATATCAAGAAAGAAAGGGTAGGATATAAAGTGAGAAATACACAAATGCGAGGAAAAGATGGCAAATTGACGGCATCAAAAGAAAAGATCCTAAGCATCTGGAAGGAACATTTCCAGCAGCTGCTTAACCAAGGACACCCCACAAACGAAGAAGACATGGACCACACTGAGGACATCGACCCACTTGAGGTTGAAAAACCAGATATTCTGGATGTGGAAATAGCTATCGACAGACTTAAAAGAAGAAAGGCTCCAGGGATGGACAACCTACCATCAGAATTGTTCAAGGATGGAGGAGAAGAACTTAGAGCCAAGCTGTTAGATCTAATCCAGAAGATATGGGAGAAGAAACGGATACCAGAAGCATGGAACACTGGGTAGATCTGTCCTATCCTTAAGAAGGGCTCCATGTATGAATGTGGCAATTACAGAGGCATAGCACTTCTTCCTGTCGCCTATAAAATAATGACTAATATTCTGTTAAATCGGATATATCCGTATTGTGAAAACATAATAGGCGACCATCAAACAGGGTTCAGGAGAGGGAGGAGTACGCTAGATCAGATATTCATCCTGAAAAATGTACTTAAAAACGATGGGAAGTAGATCATGACGTACACGCATTATTTGTCGACTTCAAATCAGCCTATGACTCCGTTGACAGAAACTGTCTCTGGAAGATCATGACTGAGCTGGGTGTTCCAGGGAAATTAGTGAAGTTGACGAAGGCGTATACAAATGATCCTAAATGCTGAGTACTAATACAAGGAGACGTATCTGAAGCCTTTGAAGTTCGAGTGGGTTTGAGACATGGAGATGGACTCTCGCCGATGCTGTTCAACTTAGTAGACCTGGGCACTCTTGAAATAATTTATTTTTCAAATAATTTATATGGTTATTCCACTAATGAATTATTTCGGGAATAACCGTTATTTCTGAAATAATATTTCAAACTGTCAATGAAATAATCTCGATAGAATAACTGCTGAATTTATTTCTGAAATAATTATTTCAATATTTGAACATTCTTTGGAATAAAGTAAATTATTTTGAAATGAGTTATTTCTGAAATAAATTATTTCATAACTATTATTTCAGAATTATTTATTTCATAAATAAATTATTGCAAAAATCAAGAAATGAATATTTCAGAAATAACATTGTTCTGAAATAACATAAAAAATTTACCAATATGCATAATATTTTCGGGCTATCTTTTTAAGAAAATAGTGTCGAATTTGAGAATGCGCCCCCCCCCACCCACCAGCATCGACTTTTTATAACTTTTCGGATTTAATCCATATCAGGCTCGACTATTATGTTTTCGGGGGCGCTTTTTATGAAAATACGGTCGAATTTGATATTGCGAACCCCCCCCCCCCTTCCCACCCCGCATCAACTTTTTGTAACTTTTCAGATATAATCGATCTCAGGGTTGACTATCATGTTTTCGGGGGCGCTAATTATAAAAATAATGTCAAATTTGAGATTGCGCCCCCCACCCTCTCACATCAACTTTTTGTAACTTTTCTGAAATAATCGATATCTGGGTCAACTATTATGTTTTCGGGGGCGCTTTTTATGAAAATGATATAGAATTTTAACTCACTTTAAGGTAGACCTGGGCACTCTTAAAATAATTTATTTCTGAAATAATTCACATGGTTATTCCACGAATGAATTATTTCCGGAATAATGGTTATTTCTGAAATAAAATTTCAAACTGTAAATGAAATAATCTGGACGGAATAACTGCTGAATTTATTTCTGAAATAACAATTTCAATATTTTAACATTCATTGGAATAATGTAAATTATTTCGAAATGAGTTATTATAACTATTATTTCAGAATTATTTATTTCATAAATAAATTATTGCAAAAATCAAGAAATGAATATTTCAGAAATAACATTTTTCTGAAATAACATAAAAATTTTACCAATATGCACCATGTTTTCGGGGTATCTTTTTATGAAAACAGTGTCGAATTTGAGAATGTCCCTCCCCTCCCCCCAATTGACTTTTAGCAACCTTCCGGATTTAATCGATACCAGGGTCGACAATTATGTTTTCGGTGTAGCTTATTATGGTAATAAGGTGGAATTTGAAATTGCGCCCCCCCCCTCACCTCCCCCCCCCCCCAAATCGACATTACCTTTCAGATTTAATCGATATCATGGTCGACTATTATGTTTTCGGGGTAGCTCATTATAAAAATACGGTCAAATTTGATATTGCGCCCGGACAAATCTTAAGTTTGACATTATTTTTATAATCATACTATTCGAAACCGTGATATCGATTATATCTGAAAAGTTACAATAAGTTGATGCGGGGGGGAGGGTGAAGGGGTGGCGCAATATCAAATTTGAAAGTATTTTCATAAAAAGAACCTCCGAAAACATAATAGTCGACCCTGATATCGATCAAATCTGAAAAGTTACAAAAAGTCGATGCTGGAGGGTGGGGGGGGGGCGCAATCTCAAAATCGACCGTATTTTCATAATAAGCTCCCCCGAAAACATAATAGTCGACCCTGATATCGATTATATCTTAAAAGTTACAAAAAGTCGGGGAGGGGGGCGACGCTATATCAAATTTGATATTATTTTTATAATAAGCGCCCCCGAAAACGTACAGTCGATTTGGATATTGATTATATCTGAAAAAAACGACCAGAATGATTATTTCACAACATTATTCCTAAAATAATCATTTCAGAAATAATTACATCAGTATTCCTGAAATAATTTATTCCCGATATAATCATTTCGAAAATAATGTTCAGGCTATTTCATGAAATAAATTATTTCGGAAATATGTATCGAGGTTTATTTAAGGATTTATTCCGGAAATATTTTTTCAAATAAATTCTGCCCATGTCTACTTTAAGGTCAGTAGTGCACAGAGGAGTGTTGTAGTTAAAGAATACAATATGTGATATTAAACTAATAGTTAAGAAAATATTACATAAATAGGTCGTTGCTTACTGAGCTTCAATTGCTGGTTTTGTATGAAGTGTGGGCATTTTCCGTAATTTGAGAAATGACTTTCATTGCAGTTGCTGCACTTCGGGACGATGTCTTCGCGTATGATATTAGGGCAGTCTCTTGATAAGTGTTCCTCGGAGCACTTCAGGCAACGGGTTTTTTTGAAGCAGTTTCTAGCTATGTGAT